AGCTGATGTTGCTAGTGCAGGAGATTCTAACAAACAGAGGGTGGCTCTTAGTGGAGACGGTGTCGCTTGTGCTGTTGCTGTTCCTGCTGCTGCTGCTGGTATTGATGCTGCTGGTGTTGTTTCTTCTGCTGGTGCTGGAGCTCTGGCTCCAGTGACTACTGCATGTAGTGCAGCAGTTGCAGCTGTTTTTGCTGCTGCTGCTGGTGCTGCAGGCTCTGGACGATGGTCATGCTTTGCTCTCTAGGAATTCTCCTCATTGCCAAGCCGGGCGGCATGAGCGAGGCGCTGGGTGGCGGCAGTAAACCTCTATCCCTAAGCCATCACCATTGGATGTAGTGCTCGTCTTGGGGTGTATTGGGGTTAAATTTCAGTAGTTATTTCTCAGCAACCCTCTACAAAACAAACACAAACACGAACTGATCCCCTGATGATGCTGCCGCTTTTTCTATTTGCCTGCAGCAACACCGGCGGAGAATTCGGGGAGCGAAGTTCCAATGATTGACAATCTGAACAAAGGAGGGGCTTTCATTATTCTCGTGGTTGGCGCTTTTCTGCGTAAACCCGAAAACCCTAACACCCTAAACCCTAAACCCTAAACCCTAATCCTCAATCCAACTCCGCAACCCTCAATCCAACAAGTGGCGGTTCATAGCAAACCACATAGAGGGAGATCGGCTTTAAATGCATTGGTTGTTGGGTTTCGTGGTAGGGTGTGTCAGTGTAGGGAGGTCTATGGTTTGAAATAACAAGAAGAGAAAGGGTTTAGGGTTTAGGGTTTAGGGTTTAAAACAACCAGCCTGTGGACTTTCAGGTGTGTGTGTGTGCTCTGCAGACGGAGTTTCGTTTGTGCTGGGACGACACGTAGCCAAACGGGGGCCCCCAATTCTTTCAATTTTGTTGATGATGTTTTTCGGCCTTCTCTCATTCTTGCCTCTCGTTCTTATCCTATCACCATTTCAGATGAGCTTCTTTAGGGAGCTCGAGCCCACTCAGTGGGCTGCACTGTCAGGTAAACAAACCCCTCTCCTTATAGGCGCAAACGCCATCCACCTGCTGTTGCTTCTGGCTGATGCTGCCTCTGGCTGCTGCTCCTTCTCGCAGCTGCTGCTTCTCGCTGCTGCTGCTTCTTGCTGCTGTTGTTTGTTGCAAGGAGCGCACTGCAGCCCTGCATTAGGGGCATCTCCCTCTCCCGTACTGAGTTCGCAGGTGTATCGGGGTAGCACAGCATAAGGTGTATTGCATCGTTTACATATTGTGCTTTAGATGTTCTGAAACTTGAATATTTATACCCTAAACCCTCGTGGTTTGCTTGGCTGGGCGTGGCTGGGTTTCTGCAGTGCTGCCCTGTCTGGGCTTGGGGGCACAGCTCTGCCTCATCACTGCGCTGGAAACTGAATCTGCTGCGACGAT